TCTTTATTTTTTTTATCTACTATAAGACTATTATAGTCAAAAATCATATTATCTTTGAAACTATCAGTTTTAACTGAAATGCCATAACATTTGAATGATCTATGAATTAAATTTGTATCAATTTTTTCCTATGTATCTTTTACCCATGAACATACTAAAGAATATGAAGGTTTTAATATGTCCAGATGAAGTTAATTTATGAACTTCATTTGTTATCCAATCATTATAAAGTTCGCGAATCTATTAAATTAAAAATCCTTTTAATTTATAGAATAATAAATATAAAAATAATAAAAAATTAATTAATTATACTTATATTATATTTAAAACTTTTATTAATTGATACATCAAGAGGTTGCAATTTTGATGTTAATCCACCAGGAATTACTGCTATATTAGTTTCTTTTTCATGTAATTTTTGTTTAACAGAGCTAACTAAATGATTATGAAAAGAATCCAAGACAAGAAGTGAACTGGGATTAGATGAATTAACAGTTCTTCTAGACCAAATATTTTCTATCTACAAAATCATTTTATCTTCATTAACCCATCCTTTTGCATTTACTCTTACAAATATACCATTAGAAAAAGTTTTTTGAGGTATATTCTTTAATTTAAAAATAATAACAGGTGGTAATTTTGATTCATCTGAAGTGAGTAATCATATTGTATTCTTCTATAAAGAACAAAACTCAAAAAACTTTGCTGCTTTTCAAGTAAATCTTCAGGTAAATGCTGAGATACTGTTGTTTTTCGATGATTTGAAAGATCATAACGATTCATAAAACAGTCCATCCATTTATTTGAAAATTTAAAGGAAGAAATGTTAGAATATTTTTCTTGATATTTATTAGTTTGTGCAAGTTCTTTGACTTTCTTTGTTATCATATTTCTGGTAATTGGAAGACCTTGTTTTCTATATTCTAAAATCCAATTTGCTAACTCATTTTCTAATTCAAAAAAAAATGCTTGTCTACCATTGTGTAATTTTAATAAATGAGATGCAGAGGCTTTAAGTTAGTTTTTTTTATTCCTCCAGTCACAAACTTGGTTTAGTTATAAATCAAAATGTCTTGCAGTAGCACAAACACTATTTGAATCATTTATAAAATGCAAAACCATTAATTTTTCACGAACTGACCAATTTCTCTTTTTTTTAAAAGTAAACCTAGAACGCTTGGCACTTTTATTTGCTCTAACCATTTTTAATAGTATAATAGTGAAACGCAATACAAAAAAAAGTGGAATGTAATACAAAAAATATAATGCCAAAAAACTATATATTGATAATCTATATAACCTTTCAAATCACCTCCTTTCTTACAAAATACCTCTCTGATTAAACTATCTGAATATTTTGCAAATTTAAGGGTAGATTTGTAAAATACCTGGAGTGGTTTAGTTAGCACTCTATGGTACAAGTCAAAATTATATGACTAATTAAATGTTTGTCTAAAATTCTATAATTAGTTTTAGTGAAATTTTAATAAAAGTTTAATATGATTTAGTTATAATTTTTCCAATTTTAGTATTTAATATGATAGTTTTAGTATTTTAGCATTTTGCTATAGTTTTACATAAATTTTTATAAAATTATAATATAGTTTTAGCAAAGTTTTAGCATTTTAACATTTTAGCAAATAAAAAATTTTCTTATTTCTTTAAAAACCTTACTAATAATAAAATAAATTAAGCAAAAATTAGGTTTTAATTAATAGTTTTAAATATCTTCATTAATAATAAAATCTTTGCTAATATAAGTTTAATAATATTATTATTAAATAATATAAATATATAAATATTTATTAAGTTTGATAATTTGTAATTAATTAAAAACCATAATTTATTTATAAATAACAAACTTGATTATTTTCAATATTAATGATATAATGATTATATATAAAGTTTCTTATTTAATATAATACTTTTAAAATCTTAAAAAAAAAATAGCTTTTATTTAATTTTATATTCTAATCAAAAAGGAAATGAAGGATTTATTTATAATCAAAAGGGTAGTAATAAATCTATTATTATAAAATACTTTTATATTCAATTATATTTAATTTCTTTTACTATTATACTTCTTAAAACTAAAAATAAAAAGTGAGTTTATAGTGATAAATGACTATATAGAAACTTTTTAAAGTATTAGTTCTAAAGAGATATATATGACTAAGGTTGTTTGTTTAATCTTATTTTTGATTTGGTTAAATATCTAACCTTTAATTTTACTAAATTTTTACTAAGTATTTAATATAGTTTCCCCATTTTTATAAGCTTTGATATAGTTTTACCTTTTTTTTAAATAAACTTTTAATATTTAATCAAATTTTACCTTTAATTTTTTAATATCTGTCTAAACTCTAGATTTTATCTAGTAATTTTAAATATAACTATAAAAACATAGTAATTATTAAAAATGGAGTTGTAATTAATTTTAAAATTTTAACTAGTTACAACTTGAGTTACAACTTTTTGAGTTATAACTATCTATGAGTTTTTATATTAAAATAAATTTTATAAAAAGTTGTAACTAGTTGCAATATAAGTTGTAACTTACCGAATTATTTCTTTTTAATTACAGTACTATTTTTAGTAATTATAAAAGGGGTTTTTATATAATTTTAATAGGAACTAATTTTTATGAAAGGTGTATTTATAATAGATAATTTATATAATATAATATACAAGAGGTGACAATAAAGGAGGTTGATTGAATATAAAATGAAAATAAGTATTTACTAATTTACTATTTATATCAAAATTATGTGATTAATTAGTTAATTGACTTTTAATTTATAAGTATAATAAAATTAAATAACACTAAGTTAATTATAGCTAATTTTATAATTTATATACTATTAATAATTTTTCAGTTATATTCAGTTACAATATTTTATAGTAATTTTATTATAAAATATTTTCAGTTACATTCAATCACAATTTTTAGTGGTCAGTAAATTATAAAATTAGCTGTAAAGTATAAAAAATACAAAATTAGTTAATATAAAAAAAATAATTTATATTATTTTATTAATAATTACATAGAAGTCATAAATATATAATAAATATTTCTAAAGTAAAAAATTATATAGAATATAAATATTATTAATATTTAAAGTTATTTGTTTAAACTTATTTTTGATTTGACTAAACATTTAAACCTTTAGTTTTGTTAAATTTTTACTAAATATTTAATATAGTATTACTTTTTTTTAAATTTTGCAGGTTTTTTCATAAGGTTTAATATAATTTAACCAAGTTTTACCTTTTCTATTTAGATATTTATTTAAACTCTAGATTTTGTTTAGTAACCTTAATTATACTTATAAATTATTTTTAATAACTTATATATATAATATTATCAACTAATATATTAAATTTGAGATTATTTTAGAATACTAGAATAAATTTTATATATAATTTTAATAATTGGTTTTTCATATATATCTTTAAATATTTGTGAAACTGTATTTCTTATAAATTATAAGTTTTTTTATAAGTTTTTTTAATAAGATATTTGAATATTTTAAAGATATTAGTAAAAAAACCATAAATCTTACAAAATTACTAATACTTGAACTTATGTTTTAAGTTTTTTTATATATATTTAATAGTCTAAAATTTCAAAAGTGTAATATTTTATTAACTTGTTAAATAATAGCTTTTTATTAATTTTTGAATTTCTATCCTATTATATTTTATTTGTAATTTTAAAAATGTTTTTACTAAGAAAATCATAATAAAAATGTTTCTGTAGCTTTAGAAAAGTTTTTTATTAAGAATAATTAGTAATAAAATGATATTATGACTTTAGAGATATTTTTTACTAAAAAATATTTAGTAAAATAACTTCATAATTTTACAAACATTTTTTATTAAGAAATAACTTATAAAAATATTTTTACAACTTAGAATATACTTTTTTTTTTACTAAAAATACATTGTAAAAATGCATATGCAGCTTTATAGATATGTTTTTAATTAAGAAATACCTTATAAAAACATCTCTATAGTTTCAGAAATGAATTTTACTAAAAAATATATTATAAACTGCTTTCATAATTTTATAAGCATTTTTTTATTTAAAAATAATTCTAAAATTATAAAAGTGATTATTACTAAGTTTTTTTGGTAAAACTGAATTACAGAATTATTTTAATAAGTTTTAAACTGAAGCTACAAAGTTATTTTATTAAGGTTTTTTTTGATAAAACTAAAACTGCAAAATTATTTTATTAAATTTCTTAGTAAAATTAAGCTTTAAAGTTATTTACTAAGTTTTTGATAAATCTGAAATCACAGAATTGTTTTACTAATTTTTTTTTAGTAAAAAATCATCCTCAAATATTTGTTATTAAACTTGCTTTGGAAAGGCTATCTTTAAAATTTTTTTAGTATATATTACTAATGATTTTCTTAATTAAAACTTTAGAAATAAACTTTATTTTAGTATTTAATTATATATATTAAAAAATTTTTTATATTTGATTTGATTTTATTTGATAAATATTTGAATTGATAGATTTGATTTAATTTGATTAGATTTGAAAAAATCAAATCAAATTTAAATTGTCTCAATATTTAATATATTTAATTTGATTTTGAGAAACCCTAATGTTTTTTAATAAAAAACTTTTTTAATTTACAAAGATTCTATTTACTAATATTTCTTAATAAAAAAAATTATTTCTAAAAATTTAAAAGTATAAATTATTATAGGTTATTTATTATTTATAAAATTTATACTATTAATAAATTACTTTTATAAAATATAATTTATATTTTTTTTAATATTTTTAACATGTTATTTATTAAATTTATATGATTGTTATAAAAATAATAATTTTATAAAAAAAAATATTATTAATAAATTGGATTTTATTTTAATTTGCTAAAATTCTAAAAGTTATTTTTTTTTAATAATTAAATAAAAAGATATTATTTTAATTATAAATAATTTTAATAAATTCTAATTTAAAATTTTTATTTAAAAGCACTTAAATATCATTATTTTGTAATATTTCAATTTGAGAATGTACTTTAAGTCCATTTATAATAACTTGTAATGATTCACCATTTAATATATTATTTAATTCATATAATGTTAAATTAATTCTATGATCAGTTACCCTATTCTAAATAAGTTATTTAAATAAGTTATTCACTTGACTTCATTAAATGTAAAATATAAATAATATACATGAAAATTTTAACTTACTTGTGCAAAATTATAAGTTCTTATTTTTTCAGATCTTTCACCAGATCCAACCTATAACAAATATAAAAATTATACTACTTGAACTTATTAGGAAATGATAAAGAAAATTATTTACCTGTTTCCTTCTATTTTCTCTTCTTTCGTCTTGTAATTTTTTTCGTTCCATATCATATATTCTTGCTTGCAGAATTTGTAATGCCTTCGCTTTATTCTTGTTAAAAGGAAAACAACATGTTAAAACAAATAATTTCTTGAAAATCCTCACAAAATAATTTCTTAAATATCGTACTTTTGGTTGAGATCTTTCATCTTGTATAGCCACTACAATACCACTTGGAATATGAGTTATTCTAACAGCACTTGACGTTGTATTGACATGTTGTCCTCCTTTACCACTTGACCTATAATAATCTATGCGTAAATCCGAATCTTTAAATTTTACATCGGTCTAAAACAAAAATAAAATAAATTAATATCATTTGAATTTGAAATATTTATTTATTTTGATAAATACCTCAGATGGAACTGGTAAAATGGCAACTGTGATTGTGCTTGTATGCACTCGACCAGCTTTCTCCGTTACAGGAATTCTTTGTACTCTGTGAACCCCTGATTCAAATTTCATATTACCGAATACTCCTTTACCTGATATTGTAGCTACAACTTCCTATTCAAAGATAAAATAGTTGTTAATTCAACAATCTTTTAACAATGTAATCTAATTGTAGACATACTTTAACAGCTCCATTATGATCTTCCGATTTGGATAGGATTTCAAATTTCCATTTACGTAACTCCGCATATCGTTCATACATTTTTAATATGTCATTGACAAATAACGCGGCTTCATCTCCTCCGGTTCCTATATAAAAAATAAGTCACTTATTTTTTTTTTTTAAAAAAAATAAATTATGATTAAGAAACATTACCAGCTCGAAGTTCAATCACTGCACTTCCTTCATCAGCTAGATCTTTTGGTAATAATGCTTGTACTACTTCTTGTTCAAGTAGTTTTATTTTTTTTAAATATTCTTGATGTTCCTCTTGTACAAGTACTTTTAATTCTTCTTCTTTAGTTGTTGTTGTTTCTTGTAATATTGTATTAATCTCTTCAAGTTCCTATAAAATCATATTCTCTTTTAGTAAAGATGTTTTTTAAATTTTGCCTTAAAAAGACGCGTAATTTATAAGTTATACTACACCTTGTGCTTTTCTTAACTCATTATAAGGATCGGTTATCTCACTTAAATCCGATAATTCTTTAAAGATTTTTGCCAAGCAATCTGGATCATCATTCGATGATAACTATAAAAGACAAATTGAGACCATTAAACAATTTGTATAATAATGAATTATATTTATTATTGTACCAACTTGTTTAGATAATTGCTCGGATAGTAAAGAATGACGAATTATTAATCCTTCCAATTTTTCATGAATTTTAGGGTTTATTAATGTCTCTTTTTGTTTAAAAAAAAAAAAATTATTTAAAGAATTATCAAACATCAAATAAAATGAAATAAGATAAGAACCTGTTGAATATGAAATTATCTTCAATTGTAACCTTGATAATATTGTTGAATTGAAAAAATCATTATTTGGGTAAGAATAATAAGCTGAAGAAGGTCTCCTTATTGAAATTGAAATTAATGATGAATAATGTCTTTTAACGCATTTTGTAATAAAATTATGTAAATTTAATTTTTTAAAAGAAAGTATTGAACGACTCATAATGAAAAGTTTTTTTTTTTTGATTCTTCCCGAAATATCAAATATTTATATTTTTATCGATCGTGTGTCACCAAATGGTTATTTAAAAGACCTCGTCGATCCCAGCTCTCTTATATATAATACTGTTGAGTGAAATACCGTCTATAAATTTCTAGGAAAGTGCAGAAAGTCTATTAAAGTTCTTAAAAATAGTATCTTCTTTAAAAATGTCTTCACGTGTCAAAAGGTCAAACTCACCTAAATAACTTCGTATTAGATTCCAAAAAAATCTTTATATCAATTAAGATATTATATACTTGACTTCTTTATTGGCACTTTCCATATTACTAAAAATTTTTGCTGTAATTTTTATCAATGACCAAAATTCGTTTTACTTTTTTTTTATTACGATGTATAAAAAAAAAAAAATAAAAATAAAAAAAATTTAAAAAAAAAATTTAAATAAAAAAAAAAAAAAAAAAAAAAAAAAAAAAAAACCTTCTATCGGGGAAGAGTAATGAGATATAATGAGGCGTAAGAAAATGATCAAGTTTCGGCGCAGTACCCGTTTCGCAGTAAAATAAATATTTCATTGGAAAAATTTGAGCTAACATTTTAATTTTTTTTTTCCTCTTTAAAAAATGTGTAATAGTTCTTTTTTAACAATTTAAGATTTCTATAAAATAACTTTTTTTTTTTTTCTAGATTTTTTACATATATGGTGGAGAATTAAAACGCCTAAACACAAAGATTTCATTTTAAATATAATTAAAAAGTAAAAAAGTGAATGATAAAATATTTGAAAGCTCTTACGCTCTATATTCAGCAGTCATCCACAACTCACAAGTTTCCCAAACATTAATGATATCTTCAGAATCTTCCAACATTTGAATCTCTTCCCAACTATTTAATACTTTATCATGACGTAAATATTTTTGTAAAGTTTTAACACATTCCCTTGTCAAATTTCCCTTAACATCCGAAATATAAAAATTAAGTAATTCACGACCTTTCCACATTTCAAAAAATTTGGTTAAATCTAAAGGTGAAAATCCCCATCCCATATTCCCATGAAAAAATTCTCCGATACTACTCAAATTAATCATTTTCAATGATTTGGGAGATTTAATTGCCAAAAATTCTAATAATGGCAATGTTTTAATATCTTCAACGGTTATCAATTTAATACCCTCCAACCTTTGACATTTCTTGAACATTTCTTCCAAAGCGTCATAAATACCTTCTTTATACCAAATTGTGACGAATTCAATCTTTGGGCAATGATCCGCAATTGCCAACACGTAATCCTTCGCCTCCTTTTCACTTTGCGGTTCTTCAATTACATTCATGGCGATCCTACGGAGCATACCTTTGGTTCTCTTAATGATGCATGTGAAAACTTTATAAGGAGTGAACCTATCATAAATTACTTCCAGGAATTCAAGTACTGGAAAATTTGAAGATTCATGCAACATGATAGGTTTCTCCGCGGACAATTCAAGGTTCAATAACTTTAAATTTGAAAATTTTGCCAATATCTTTGGTGAAAAGAAGATTTGACCGCGAAAATGAATGTATAATAAGGAGATCTCATGTAAGCTCTTTCCGACCTTTCTAGAATCCGCCTCATCATTCACATTATCACACATTGATATATATTGCAACCTTTTTTGAAAATGAATGAAAGAGGCCAAGCCTTCATTATCAACGATTGCTTTATTAATGATAAGTTTCTCTAGGCTAGTACAAACTTTTTCCAAATCCTTGAAAATCTGTGGTGAAATGTCCGCATCACACGTAATTTCCCTTAATCCAGAAAAGCAATTTTTTGGAGCGGTTATACCCAATAAAGGAAACCGAGGGATTTCAAAGTATTTGATATTTGAATTGATCAAGAAAAAATTGTAAAGTAATCTTTCGATATACATCAAATTATGATTGGTATTCAATGAATTATAAAGTTCATGATTGAATACTCCATGAATCAACCCTTTAATGTGTCGATATTCCAATACTTGAATATATTGAACATAATTGAATAAAGGGATCCTTGTCGTCGGGGGTGTGATTGTTATACCATTAACTATGAAGGCAATCTTTATTTCATGAGGTAAAAGGGCGTATATCGTACTGGTTATTGATCTTGTTGACTTCTCTCTCCAATTAAACCAAGATAACACCCAAGGATTTCTCCACATTACGGGGATAACAGCTTCACACCATTTTCTGTTTACCAATAAACAAGAACCCAAAGTTTCTAAATCATCATACTCGTACGCATGCTCGAAAATTTCACGAAGACATTCAGTTGGAAGTGAAGAATACATTGAGCCTATGATTAAAATTATTTTGGACCAAATCACTCAATATATTTTCATCATAAAACATAAAGAAATAAAGAAAAAAAAAAGAACTCTCAAAGTTGGTGAAAAAATTTTACTTTGATCCTTCCAAATGCCTTTAAACGATTTATGCAAATCTAAGAGAAAAAATATCAATAAAATTAAAAAATTTTCCTTACGAAATTTTAAATTTAATGATGCAGAAAAAAAATTTTTTTTTTGTGTACGTACAGAAAACACCAGTGTTGTTTGAACATCTGACAATCAGACTACAGTACTAAATATATAAGTAAAAAAATTTTTTTTTTTTTTTTCAATTTTAATAATGATTAGCTGAACTTAAAAAACGTCATCATGGAAAAAAAATTTTTTTTTTAACATTCATTGCAGGAAAAAAAAAAAAAAAAAAATGATTTTGTGAAAGATCAATCGAAATATATGTGATGATGATGAAACAAAAGAGAATAGAATTCTACAATGCATTGAAACGCGTCATAACACCCATCTGCATAATTACAATGATTATTTATCAAATATTACTTTCTCTAAACATTATTTTACAACCAAACATTTACAAAATGTACTCAATATAGTAAATTTTCAAATGCCATATAAATTCATTATTTTTGTTTTTTACGATTAACCAACTTCATCGCACAAAATGCTAAGGCGGCCCAACTATATGCTATAAATCCAAGGTTTATTAAACAATCTTCATAATCTTCAAAAGAATATGTAAATCTCAACGGCTCATTATGTATTTCATACCACCTGTAATTAAAAAAATTGATTGTTAATATACCTTTTTTTTCACAAAAGAATGTTTATTTTGCTAACTCACTTTCTTGGAGAAATTTCTTTTAAATATAGAGCCTCAACTACCCATCTTGGAGGAGAAATTTTCCAAAGCCATCTTACGTATTTGTATGTATCCGAAGTGGAAACAACCGTTAATTCGGGATTTTTGCCACTAAATACCAATGACCATGCTAGCGAAAATCCAGTACCGATTAATGCCATTTGTTCTTGTAAAGAAAAAATAAAAATGAAACAAACGTTAATCATTAAGTAAGAAAAAAATCATAAGTAAATCTGTGTTAATACCTTTATTAACTATAATTGACAAGAAGTAACCTAAAAAAGTACCATAATTTAATAGGAATGTCTTTTTTAACCATTTCATATATAAACAAACATAAATATTTATTTTATTACTAACCCATCGTCCATGAACAACAGTAACTTAGTAAAGTTATTATATAGATCTCGGAATATAATGCTTGATATGAATAAAAAAGGAGATAAGACGTTGAAAACATTATAGCCGCATTAAGTACACGAGGAATATCCGCAGTAACCTTTGCGAGAAAATACGGTAAAGATCTCATGCCAGATGATGTATCACGCCAATATACAACCTTTTCGTATCCAAATGTTGAACTGGCGGCTAAAATACATGAATAATGATAATAAATAATAATGCCTTAAAATGAATTTAAACTTTATTTCTTTTTTTACTTGCCACTAATGCCCGAAAAGGTTGATCCAAGCGCGAAAAAGACGGCTCCGGTCTATTAAGAGAAACGTACTAAGAAAATGTAATATTTTAAAGAATTGAATGAATAAGAATCATTTACCTGTAAATAATCCGTTGCAATTAAACAGAAAGGAATTACGGCAAATGGTGTTACAATGCAAAGTTCTCTTGGTGGTCTCCCAACATAAGTAAGATTATTGTTAGACAACGAAACGAAAGCTCCGCATGCAAGATGTAATGATGTGTCAAACAAAAATTGCGATCTATTTCGATAAAATTGTAAACATGCTCGTTTAAATAAAAGTGCAAATGCTGTAAATACATTTGGTGTTTCGCGAATAGGATCTCGTTCCCAAAAATAAAATGTTGTTCTCAAAAATGATGAAAATTCTGTCATTATGTCTTTAAAATAATCTACTACGTCTCTAAATTTTTGTAAAATTATCATAAGAAAACTTGAAAGGATGGTTTTAAACTTTTGTATAATTTTTACTGAAGACTTTCCACAATTAACTTCTATTGCAATATGAGATGAGGCTAAATTTAATGTAGGATTTTTTCTTCCTGAAATATAATTATCCCAAATATCTGATAGGTCAGCAATTGAAAATTTACGATTAACGGGTTGAACTTTTCCAGAAGCAATCTCCATCATAAAATCGGAAGGACTAAAATAATACAATAAAAATTAATAAAAGCCTATAAAAATATATACACATATAAATTCGTTACCTTTCATCCGGAGGACAAACAAAACCTAAATTTTCAAAATAATTTAATGCAATGTCTCTTTCTCCAAAATAAATGACCATTCCTCCTTTTCCGAGTAACATAAAATCATCGAACTGGCGAAAGGCTTGATCTGAAGGACTATGAATAATGGCCGCAACGGTAAGGCCTTGTTGATGAGCGATATTCTTTAAGAGCTTGCACATTTCAAGTGAAGTCGCAGAATCTAGACCCGAAGTTGGTTCATCCTGATTGAATAATAAATATTGAGGATAAATCACGTACCAAAGAATGATGAGATCAATAAAGTTAAAAACTTTCATTCAATATTTTTCAGAAACGGCAGTTGCAAAAGTGCCAGAACCTTACCAAGAAAAGAATTGATGGCTCTGCGACAAGTTCCATCCCGATATTTACACGCTTACGTTGACCACCCGAGATACCTCTTTTCTCTTTAGATAAGTTCAATTTAAGGTGTTAAATGGGTTTAATAAGTAAATAAAATCATTAACATTATTATACTATTCACCTTCATTCCCGATAGGTGAATCCATTATGTGACCTAATTCCAAAAATGATATCGTTTCAATAACTTTTTGTTTTTTGGCAGCGCGGTTCATATCATTTGGCAAACGCATCATGGCAGAATGCTAATAATCAAATGAAATAATAGGATATAATACCGAAACCAAATTTATGATAAAAATAAAAAATTTTTTTTTTCATACCACCAATATTTCGCGCACGCTTAATTCACGAAGCATAATATCTAATATCAAAAAACTATTAATGAGTTGAATAAATTATATTTTATACAATCTGTCGTAAATTTACCTTCTTGAGGGACATAGCCTATTAATTTGCGGTATTTTTCCAATGGTTCTTCCACTCCATTAACTATGATAAAGATAAGTTGTCAGAATCTCGAATTTAAAAATTTTTATAAAATTAATGATTTCATTACCTTTAATTGTACCACTAGTTTTCTTAACCTTTCCAGTTAACAAAGAAACAAAAGTTGTTTTACCAGCGCCTAATCGTGACATTAGGGTTTGATTTTAATTTTTTAAATTGATAAGGATTATCAAGAATGTTATTATTATGTACCTGAAGGACCCATGATCGCGCAAGTCTTGCGTTTACTCAATTTTCCGGAAACTCCCTAATATAAAGAAATAAGTTAAACCCGGAACATAAATATAGTGAGATTCAAATAAAATAAATAAATAAATTTACCTTCATGATCTCGATACCATTCGGTAATATCAATCCAAGATTTTTAAATTCAATATCAAAGGTCCTTGACACAGGTTCAAGTTTCATACCCGATTGCAATTTTTGTTCATTTAATAAATTTTTATATTTTGCAATTTTTATTGCATAAACTTTCTTTTTTACTTTGAATAATATTAAAAAAAACCCGACCATTATCATTAATAAAAAAGCTACACGATAACGAGTCGCAGTCATCGATCCTGGTGGACAACTTGCTAATCCATGACAAGATGTTGGTACAACGCTACCAAGTTCGCAAAAATGACCTAAGTAATAAATTTTTTTAACATTCCGAGTACGTGGCGCAGTATACCGAGAAAAAGAGGTAAGATATTATTAAAAAAAAAATACCTTCCGGACAAAGGGATAATTCGCTGCCATTTTCATTACAATAATAACCGGGACAACAATACACAGGTTGAGCTTTTCTCAAAAAATAAAAAAAATAAAAAAATCTCGTAAATTATGGAGCTTGCGCAGTCGCAATAAATGTATGATGATTTTTACCCGTGTTCGGCGGGCAAAGAAAGCCAGCGGTACAGGGTATCGGGTTGCCAGGTCCTATACAAAAATTTCTTTAAAAAAAGAAAAGAAAAGAAAAATAGAGAATGATTTACTTTTGACAATTCTAACAAAACAACAGAGACACTTAATGATGATTAAATTCTAACCCGGCTGGACAATCCCAAGTAATTAATTCACCGGCGATCGTAATGTTGTCTTCGGGGCGCGGAGTAGATATATAGTGGCATGGATATTCACGATTCTGAGTTTAGATCGAATTAAGAATTAAATCCAAATGGTGAATGAACCAATCGAAAATTGAAGAAAAACTTGAGTAGAGATTTCACCTCAGTTCCCGGATATGATTTATTTTGAAGCAAAGTAATATAAAAGGTAGGATTTAAAATTTCTTGTAATTCCCCCACATTCGGAGGTGTTTCTATTAATTCAGAAAGCGCAAAGTCTAACAACAGCGTTACTAAGATTATAGATATGATCTTAAAATTTATCATCTTGGTTAATAATAATAATTTTCTATAGTTTTTATTCCAAAGTAATAAGAAAAATTTATGCACAGTAATTGTTAAATGATGAGGAAAACACGAATAAAAGGAATTTCTGCTTTATTTATCGTTTGCGATAAATTACTCTACTATGCCAAATTTAGGTTCCTTATAAATTAATATTTATTTATGTGGTTCATTAGAATGGATCGTGCATTTTTAGAAACAATATGAACTCCGAATTCCGACATTTTGAAAATGCAAAGAGACATATTTGAAAAAAATCATATAATATTTCCTATATCGAATAAGGATTTACGTCAATGATGCTCATCCAATCGTAATTATCTATGATCCGCAGCAGGCACAATGAGATTATTGTAATTTTATTTTTATTTTCGTTGTTAAAGAAAGGAAGGTCATGATCGCATCGAACAAATAATCGATCTATATGGACAAGACATAATCCATTTTATAAATGGTGGAATCACATTGATTCTGTTCACTTGTAAGCCATTTAACGTAATTTATGTTTATTAAGAATTGCATAATTAAAATTTAGCTTTAAATGAAGATTTTGCTTTATTTGACCCCTTATCGATATTCTGTATTTCTTTTTGTGGTATGCTATCCAAAAATGTTTCGATTATATCGTGAAGTTTTTGGGATCGTTCGACCATAACCCAATGAGAACAATCTTCAATATTCTAAAATCGATACATTATTAACAAGCGTTATTAGTTATAAATATGCGCAGTTTTTAAAATTTTTGTGCATCACTTACACTTATCGTTAAGTCTTTACAATACTTGTGCATATTCTTGGTCATTGAGGGTGGAAGAAAGATATCTCTGCCAAGAGTAATCTATTCAAATCACGTGATTATTGGAGGTATAGGAATAAAACGGTTAACATATTTTCACTTGAACAACAAAAGTATTTGTTCTATTTACCATTAGAGCGGGATGATGAATTTGCTTTCTAGCACCTACAAGTTAAACAAATAAAATGATAATTTGAAAGATTTTCTCGTGTTAATTCATCTTTTTTTAACGTAAATCTTTCAAATTACCTTTCTCGTCTTGAAAATTCACTTTTCTGGTTTTATAATAATTTAATCCTCCATGAAATCCTCTGGCCTTATATTGTGAAACATAATAATCCAATTCCTGACGATCAAAGAAATCAATTACGAGTTGTTTGTTTAAGTTAAAGAGATCCAATAATATGAAAATACCTGATTCGTGATCATTGGACTTTTTTCCAAGTTATTAAGAACATCTCCAAACATCGAATTACCATCAAAAATTTTGACGTAATCTTCCTTCTTAGAAGAGCGTAGGATACCCTTAAAATATAAATCCACCTAAAAAAGATTAAAGCTTGATTAAACATATAAAAGAATGAATGAACGAAACGAATCTTTTATATATAATGTTTATACGAACGTTACTATCCAATTCTATTTCAGCTTTAGGATGAGTGAAATAAACTTGGTACTGTAAATTTGGCAAAAGTTCGGCCACGGATTCAATGCTGAGATAATGTTCGTTTGGTGGAGTGTATGGCGTGCTTAAGCTGAATCAAGGAAATCATTTTTAATGCATGAAGAAATGAGATAAAAAAAGGATGATAATAGAGTTTATACCTGATCACAGCACGAACCCTTTCGGGATAATGAATGCACATTCTCCAAACGATATGACCGCCCCTTAGAAAAATTTTACGGGTGTTATAATATTATATTTCCCGGTATGAAAATTTCAATATTACACTTACCAATCATGACCCATGAAAATTGCCTTTTTTACATTTAACTGATCCATAAGTTCGGCTAAATCCTTGCAGATATTCTTAATCCCATATTGATGTAAATCGTCTGGTGGACAACGTGGTGATTCCTATCAAGAAATTAAGCGGCGTAAGATGGAATTGTATGACAATAGAAGGAAAAAAAAAAATTACAGTTTGTCCAAAGCCACGGAGATCCGGTGCAATCACCCTAAAACCTTTCGACACTAAAAAAGGAATTTGGTAGCGCCATCCGTACCACAAATCGGGAAAACCATGACAGAGTACAATTGCCTGTTTATTTTCTTCGCCTTCGTCAACATAATCTTAAAACATCAAGAATTAATTTAATTAATTGAACTACAACGATTTAAAAAATATATATATATATATAATATCCCTGATATACATATAATTGTTTTCCTTTTTTTTTTTAAAAAAAAAAAAAATAAAAAAAAAGAAAATTCTTACGATAAATTATGCCATTAACAAAGGAAAACTTATGTCGAAAGGAACTAGGTTCCTGTGGGTCCATACGAGTAGATGACATATTTAATAAATTGAGGACCAGAAATTTTTCGAATTGAATAAATTGGCGTGCCCTTTATATATTTTTTATAATGATTATCAGATTACTGTAAGCAATTTTTTGCTCATGGATCTTTCCGAATCACATGCAGTTTATTTAAATGCTCAGTGAAATACCTAAAGCCAAACTGGTAAAATAAAATTTATCGTGAATATGTGATTGGGCGATTAGGCCAAGGCATAAAAAATAGTTATCAGTATAGTTAAAAAATTTTCTTTGATAGTCATGTCAATTAAATGTGCAACGATCCTTAGATCATATTTTCACCAAAAATGTTTAATTCTGCATTATCCATTTGAATGTGATCACGTGCCATTATTTCTCGTATAAAAATCAAAATTTAAAGTTTTTCTTAGTAATCGTAGTTCATATAATGTCTGTAACTACACCAACTAATTACAGCTTTAGTGTTGACCTTAGTTCTACATCTGGCGCGGATGAGCTTTTCATTAAGCACAGTATTCCCGAGCTTAGGGCTCTCGAGAAGAGAACAAGGTTGCATAATGCTTTACGCAAAAAAAAACTTTCAATTTCTTATTTAATAAACCGTTGTCTTTAGGTCCGATATCGAGAAAAAGAAGCAAGAGTTGCGACTTATGGTCGGGTAAATTTTTTTTTACTTACATTTTGTCATTGAATTCATCATTATTATTCACTAATGAAAATTTTTAATTGATAACGTAGCGAAAGATATCGTGACTTGATAGATGCAGCTGACAGCATAGTTAATATGCGTAAGTGTGCTTTGTCAATTCAAGAAGAATTGCATCATATGCAAGATTCTTGTGATGTTCATGCCTTGAAAAGATCGGTTCGAGCTCAAGTTAATGAGGACAACAAAGGTACAAAAGGTATAGTATCAAGTGTTTCAATATATGTATTTACTTTACTTGGCTTGAATTGAAGGTTTTCCTTGGCGAAACTTATTTGTAGTATTTAAATTAAGATGAGAAGAAACACCATCTGTATTCGTCGGCTGCACAAATCAAATTACTGGTAGACGTTCCCGAGCAGGTACGTGAATGCAACCTTTAAATTGTTAGAACTTTTTAATTGAAATTCCAATGTTTTTTTTAAAAAAAATTTAGATTTGGAGATCCTTAGAGAGTCATAAGTATTTGAATGCAAGTCGGCTATATCTCATCGCCAAGTTGGTCTATAAGAATCTTCAAGCTCATAATGATAATTCACCATTTAATGTTTCAGTAATTATGATATTTACTTTTTTTTTTATTATATTTGCCTTGTTACAATTTTCTTTTATTAAAATACCATTAAATTATTTATAGGTAACTTTTCCTGTTGTTCAAAGACAATGGGATGCTGTCAGTCATTTTAAGTCACAGATTCTCCAAAAAGCAATTCAATATTTAAAGATAACTGATCAATCTGAACAGGTGATTTGTAATTCGAAACCTTTTTTTTAAAAAATAAAAAAAAAATTTATTATTTAAATTAATTTTTTTTTTCTCTTGAAATAAGAGTTTAGCAGAAACGCTGTGTGCGATAATGTTGTTGGATGACGTAACTAAAAAGGATGTATTTCAGTCGTGTCTAGACAGAAGAACTTCAGTGTTGTTGCAACTTCTTGAAAAATCAACCACAAAAGATGTGAAATTTTTAACAGAACAATTTAAGGATATGATTCATATTATTCGAAGTACTGTTTTCCATGTAGGATTAGTATTTATAAGGACAGGAGATGATCTTTCATTATTTGAATCCTACCTTCATCAGCTGCAACAAGGATTTTCTGTTCAGGAAGATAATTTACAGACACCATCCACATTAATCTCGCCGCGCGAATCGAAGGTTTCGCTTACACGTTTATATTCTCCTACGGCTAATATTCATCTCCTGATGCGTTATTTACCAGGATCCATTCAGACCTTTACACCATTTCTTCATATGTCAGGGCCTCGTGGGAACTTTACACAGGACGACATTCGTGAACGGATGAATGGATGGTTTAACTATATCGTGCAGTCATTTCAAGAAAAACTTGGAGTGATTCTATCAAAAGTTGTACATGCTCGAGATTTAAATGAGTTAAGGAAGAATATATGGGATATTTTGAAAGAGGATGAAAGTTCCAAAGAAGAAGAAAAATCAGCAGTCAACAATCATCCAAGCAAAGTTCATAGAACTAGTTTGGGTTTCATATTAAACATTCAAAGAACTGCTTGGTCTTGGTCTTTTGTGAGTTTGTTTTACTATTTCTTATTTTAACAATAAGGGCTAGACTAAGTTATAAATCATGATTATTTTTAATTACTTCAGGCTTGTAACCTTGTGTTTAATAAATCGTTTTCAATTTGGCATGATTTGTTAAGGCAAGGTTTTAATAAAAGATTTCAAGATATCATTAAATTGTCATTCGAAGAGTTATCAAAACAACCTGGGAAGTTGCTTAGAAATAGATTATATAAATTAGATAATCCCAATAATGAAGGTAATAATAATACGCTGGAAAATTTCATTTAAATAATGTAATTAATTTATTATATATCATTATCATTTGAATAGAACGTCATTTGGGAAAGTTTATATGGGCACATGATTCCATATTTCCTAATTCAAAAATTCAAGAAAACGTTGCATCAATATTTAAACAAAGGATCGAATGTCTTGTATCAGCACAAACATCTTATGTTAATGATGCAAAAATGGCTTTTGAAAATAATTTGAGAGATATTCGAGATGATATGGAACCTGTCTTTGCATTGATTAATAATCGTACAGATGAATTATTTTATGACAAATTTCATGGAAAGTCATTTGAAGTTTATAGGTATTTTAGAAATTTTATTATTCTCGAACGTTGAACAGGTATTAACCGAATTCTACTCCCATTTTTTTCAGCGATACTGAGGAATTGTCTGAATTTTTCCAAGAAACTTTAATGAATTCCATCACATCTTATCGTAATCAGCTTAAAAGCTTGATCGAAGAAATCGATACATTTGAACAAACGCAGGAAAAAAAAACAATTCCAGAAAATAATGGTGGATACCCTGATAAATTAGTATCATACTTTATTCCTAAAAAAATTTAAATTGAAAAAAAAAATTTTTTTTTGTAGCAAAACGGTTGCTTATTGGAAGAATTTCACAAACGATTGCTTATGAATCTGCGGTACTTCCATCACTTTTACAACCAACTACGGGACGTGATAAGCAAAACGATTTTAATTCTCGTCTTTCTTCGGCTCCAGGTATGCACAATGTTCTCACGTCAATTTAATGATTTCAACAAAAGATTTGAATAATTATAACAGCTTCTGGAATTAGATCCGCGTTTAGTAAATTTACGCCAATTATTAATGGATGTTTATTTTTTGGCACATAAATCTTGGATGCAATGGATCACAAATAATGCCAAAGAAGTTGTGTCTGAAATGTTAATCAAGTCGCCTTGGAATGAGGAAAATATTCAAACTTTGGTATGGGAAGGCAAGTAAATTCCTTTATAATCAGCCGATATTATTTGTGAAAGAAATTAATGTTTATATAATATTATTTATTACATTAGAGGTAACTATGCAAGATAAAGCTAATTCCAGTGATAGCGAAGGCGAAAAAATTAATTTGCCCTCACAACCCTCAAATAAACTTATGAAATGTTTGTTTGATATATGTCAAGAGTTAAATAGAGTTGGTAGTCCAACTTTACATGAAGTTAATATATATTTACAATTTTTAGTTCTTTTTTTTTTTTGTGGAATGGTTATTAAATAATTGTTCTAACTTTATTAGAACATCATCAAGGAACTTTTTACAACATTATCCTTGAATATCTTTGAAAAGTATAAAGCTTTTACATCAGATACAGAAAATTTTGTAAAAGTGACTGAAAAAGGAGCAATACAAATATTATTTGATGCTAAATTTTTAAGAAAAGTATTTGAAGGATGTTGGTCATTAGATAAAGATAATGCTGATGATGATGACATTAAAGCACATCAAGAAAAGGAGGAAATGTTCAACCAATTATTAAAAGCCATAAAACAAAAGGTAAATAATTATAAGGTTATAAAGTATTGTTTAGATTTATTTATTTAATACCTTATTGTATATGTATAGATTGATCCCATTGATTTGGTCGTGTTTGAACCATATTTGAATAAGAATGTTGAAAGACATTATACAAGAAGTTCAATTATGTTAGGCCTATTATTTCAACTAAACCCAAAAATTACAGACATGTAAGTATAATAATATTTTCGTTTTCAAAGTACCTTCATGATTGATTTACAATCATATATTTATATTTATAGGAGGCGCAAAGGTGTTGCGTTACAGGATTATCATAACATAATGGCAATAGTGCCACAAGCCGCTAGGTTTACTTTGTTACCAATTAGTCATAGGTCTAACAAAAAAACCAAAATATAAGATATCGACTTTTAATAATAATATAATCAATTTTGTAATATTAGTTGTTTAGGCAATAGTAATTTAATAAAACTTTCCAGTAAATTCACTAGTAAAGTTATTAGTCCGGAGCGTTAGCGAAGGACTATATATGTCTACGCGCTGTGTCCCGATCAGGGACGATGATTTATGGCGTTTCACAATATATCACATAAGTCACAAAATTTTGTGATAAACACAAAATTAACACTACTAACCACATAATTTCACAAAATATTATTCTTTATATATGTGTGCACATAATTTCACATAATTTTTTACATAATTTTCGCATAATTTCACATAATTTCCATAATTGCAGATTACATCACTTACCATCAAATTTGATGATGTTGTAGTCCATGTTCTAAACCAACCCATCGGCCTAAATTATCAGCCCATTTTAATAATGTCTTAAGACGGTACCAGTGATAATTTCCTTATATGGTAATTTTAAAGATCACAACAAAACACAAAATTTACTTTTATCACACACAAAATTCGTCTTACATCACCACAAAAAATCATCGTCCCTGATCTAGACCAGTTTATTAGAATTTAACTCAACTTATCGCCATATTGATCTTGCATTTATACTGCATTAGAGTGTAACATCATATTTTAACTTTCTTTTCAAAAAAATGGAGCATACAATTAATAAAAAACGTAAAAGAGAAAACTCAAGCATTATTTGAGACCATTTTTTTTGAAAAATATGATTATGAAGAAGCAATTATATATTATTTGTCAAGTATGTAAAAATAAAGATATAATTAAGCGTTATAAATGAACAAAGGATGCTTCAATGTTTACTGCTCAGGAACATCTTTTGCAAGACTATAAAATTGATAAAGATCATCCAAAAGAGCCAGAAATTACAAATGGTGATATTAGGACTGCCATAAAACATATTACTATAAATCACCAATTAATTTTAGAACAATCACTTATCAGCTTTATAATTCTAGATTGTCAGCTATTAAATATTCTCTGAAATGATACATTTTGGGATATGCTTCACAAATTTGAACCAGGTTTTCAAATACCAACTGAAGAAGTATGCAAAAGAATAATACAAAATAGTTATAATTGGACAGGAGAAAATCTTAAGGAATTATTAAAATTAAACGCAATTACTATTAATATAATAACAGATCTTTAGACTTCCTGTCGAAATGATAGTTATATTGGTGTAATAATCTTATAATTAGACCAAAAATTGAAATTACATAAAGCATAGAATTATTGCCTAATCCCATACTTTTAAAAATATCAAAGACTGTTCGGAAAATATTCTTGAGAAATAGAATCTAAAAAAAAAGTATTTTACAACTACAATAGACAATGCTCCAAATATTAAAAAAAAACAATCACTTTAATGAATAAAGTAATAAATATAGGTTGTGTATCACATACTTTGTATCTTAGAATTACAAAAGGTTTAAGCCTAATTAAACAATTTATAAAAAGAGTTGATAACCTAATTCTCTTTTTTGCATTTAGTTCAAAGCAAAATGATTGATTAAAGAAGACACAAAACTGAGGATTTTCAAAAGTATTTCAAATACTTCAAGATGTACATACAAGATGGAATAGTTTATATCTAACATGAAAAAGATTGCTAGATTTAAAAGTTACTATTCAATAGCTTACAAATACTTTACATTTAGCTTATATAAAAGATGACAGGGATAATAGTGACTATTTAAAGCTAATTACACTTACAAAAAATGAATAGAGGTAAGCTTTTATTAATAAATAATAAATTTAAATACTTTATTTATATACTGTATATATGCTAGTGAACTGATTTTTTATACAGTTTTTTACAGAATTTAATAAATATTTTAAACCCATTTTTGAATACAATGGAACTTTTATCTGGTTCAAAATATACTATCCTAAGTTTTATATATCCAACAATGTACTTATTAATAGAAAAATTTTCGATAAGTGAAAAATCTGATGATGAATTATTTTATTTGATTTATGAGCCTATACATGAACATGAAGATACACAAAATATATTAGGTATTTACATTTTTAAAAATGATTTTATATTTTATTTTAGTTAAACAAAGGTAATTTTATTTATTAAAAAAGTAATCTTATTTTAATTTATATAAATTCAGTTAATGAAACAGATATAGATGAAGGTGATGAAACAAATTCAGATGATGAATTTATATGAAATTCAATAATTGAATCAAAGTTTAACAAAATTTTACTAAAAAATGCAAGAGGAAGAGAGTGAGCAAGAGAGCAAAGAGGAAGTTCTGAAAGAAGACAAAATGAAAGAGGTAGAGCAAGAAGAATAAATGTAGATTCTAGATTTCAAAAATGATGTTTTATCGAAGCTTTGATTGATACTACTAATCTCTTAAAAAAGATCAAAATTGCTTGTTATTTATCTATAAAAAAATATTGGAACTAATATTAATAGGAATGATAACAATAATTTTGGATCTTTGACTAAGTAGAATGGTATTATAACTAGTAGTTATCAGCATCTAATACTCAACAGAATACAATTGTTTCATCATCAAATTTCATACTTAATGCACTTTTTGATGATCATAAAAGCGATAATTTTACTAAAAACATTAATGAAGTTGATGATTATTTGAATTTACAACCACCAAAACAAAGTTATGATCTTCTAAACTGGTAGAATGATTACTTAATTACTTTGTCTATAACTTGATAGCGAACCAATCATTTTTCAAATCTATTTGCATCTCCAAACAAAACCATATGACATTCATAACTAAAACTATTTAAAATATCACAAATTTGTTCGATAAATTTTTGAATAAGACTTGTGAAAAGTTTGAATATAAATTTAAAGGTAAAAAAGAAAATTAATTCATAATAAAAAAATTTTTTAAAAGAAAGAGAATTTTTAAAAGAAATTTTTTTTTTTAAAAAAAAAAAATCTTTATATATAATTATTATTATACTAATTTCAAATATCTGTAAACAAAAATATACAGGCATACATGCATATAATAATACTCATTAATTTTGATTGTTATTAAATTATTAAAACTTGTTACAAAAAATAATAATAATACATATTTTTTGTTTGTTTTTACTAAATGCATTTACAAAAATACATTATTACAGCTAAAAAGTAAAATATAATGAATTTGATATTGATTTTTTTAAAATTAGAATTTCAATTAAAATAAAAAAAAATAATATGGTGCTGGAAGTCTATACTCAACAATAAAATTGTAACACTTAAAAATCTTTCAACTAAGGTTGCTTGACGAAATCAAGAGTTTAGACAGACGTCTAAATAGTAAAAGTAAAACTTGGTTAAATTATACTAAAACCTTATTAAAAAATCTGTGAAATTTGGAAAAAGGTAAAACTATATCAAAGCTTATAAAAATGGCGAAACTAT